TAGAACAAAAATGAGCAAGACTATCATCAATGTTTTAGAACCTAAATCCAGGAGGTAAATTCTTGACGATTTGAAAGATGGGCATACATATGCAATTCTAACAGATGCATCTAATAAGGGAAATATTAAAATATTTCCCTTGATCCTCCGCTATTTCAACAAAATAAAGGTCGTTTCAATAAAACTATTAAATTTTTTCCCCTCAAATAGTGAAAAATCCAAAAACATAGCTAACCATATAATGGTAAATATAGCAGATTCGAGACTATCAATAAATTGCTTGTCAGCTTTCTGATCTGATAATGCCTCAGTGAATTTGGTAAAAACAGAGTGTATTTACAGAATTGAGTCAGCACAATGTTGATTGCGATATGTCCCTAATACCCGCCATCGATAGAATTTTAAAATTTTTTAAACCTTTAAAAAAATATTTCTAAATAAAGATTATAAAAGCTGTCCTAACATTTTGGAAATTTTTTTAATAAATGAATGGCAGAGGTATATTTAGGAATGGTTTCACATGTAGGAAATCTAATGCTGTTAATGTGTAGTTGCATTCAGAAGAATCTTAAAGATTCACAAAATTATGCTGCAGATGTGTTCATCTTTACAGTTAAAAATTGACAATAAATTTTATGGCGCCATTGCTAAAACTTATACTATTTTATTTGAGATTTAAATAATAGAACTAAATGTTTACCGTCGTTATTGAGATAATTATAAAATTCCTGGATATTTGTTTAACCATTAGCTCGGCCTGCTAAAGCAATCCTATTTCTCTCCTTTTTCCAGACAGTCTTCATCAGGCTAAAAATGCGCTCAGATGAGGTATTAGAATGAGGTAAGGAGAAGACATACTCGCATATTTTTTCCAAGCATAGGGATTTATCGTTATTACAAAAATTTTTTACTCATTTCTCCTCTACATTTAGATCATCTAACTTTATTTTGGTGAATCATAAAAAATAGAGAGAATTACAATCTCCTCAAACAAGACATCAATGTCTTTCGGTATTTTAAATATATTTATTAAATTGGTTTCTGTTCCAAGGTCATAATATTTATACATTTATAAATAGAGTTATTAAAATCAAATTTTGATTGTAAATATTCAAAAATTGTCTTAATAAAAATATCTGCTTCATTTAAAAATGTATTAATTAGAGTATTATTTGAACATTTTAATATAATATTTTTAGCAATAGCGCCATAAAATTTATTATCAAATTTTAACTGTAGAGATGAACAGAGCTGTAGCATGATTTTGTGAATCTTTTTTAAAAATGAATATTCTGATTGCAACTAAATATTAACTGCATGAAGTAGATTTCCTACATGTGAAACGAATCCCAAATATGCGTCTGCCATTTCATACTCAAAAAAAAATTTAAAAATTTTAGGACAGCTTTTAAAAACTCTATTTAAGAAGTATTTTTTTAAGGGTTAATTTTAAAATTCTATCGATGGTTTGATGACAACCACCTGATAAGTATATATCGCAACAACTCACACCATTCCAAGTCAGACCACTTCACCAACTCTTTTAATTCATTAACTCTTTTAGTTGATGAACTAAATTCGTTAAAACATTTCATCACAATTATTTCGACATCCACAGATAGCATTCATTGCCTTCTTGCAAGAATTATGTAGTATATGGCATATACAGCCAATTGGTATTAATTCCTTATTGTGCTGCCTCAATTCGGTAACTTTTGTTTTTGCCAAAATTTACAGAGGCATTATCAGCGTAGAAAGCTGATATGCAAATCATTGATAAATCAGAATCAGCTATATTTACCATTATGTGGCTAGCTACATAGTTTGATTTTTCACTATCCGAGGAAAAAATTTTAACAGTTTTATTGAAATGTTCTTATTCTTGTTGAAATAGCGAAGGATAGAGGGAAATGTTTTAATATTTCCCTTATTAGATGTATCTATTAGAATTTCATATGGATTCCCATCTTTCAAATCGTCTAGAATTGACCTCTAGGATTCAGATACTAAATCACTTGTGATAGCCTTGCTCATTTTTGTTCTGCCACAAGTAAGGTTTGCACTTATATTGGAGTCGTTAAATATCATGAGAAAAAGATTAGACCCACATTGTGATGATATAGCTATGTGAATGTTGAACTACATGATAGATGTATACAATTTCCGCAAATGTAGTTGCATCTGTATTATTTATTATTTTTGAGAATATATTTGTATTGCAATCGATATTGATATACTCCCCTGTACTGACTTATATGAATGAAATGATGTTGAATTATTATTGGATAAAAATAAAATAGAATAGAAAGAAATTTACAAACTAGACATGTTTTTCGAATAAATATTTAAAATTTATTTAAAAAATATAAAAATAATCAATTAATGTCTCTCAAAATTATTATTTATATATTAAGAACTTTAAAATACTAAAAAAAAAAAATTGCAGGAGAAAAAAAAAATTGCGGTAGATTTTTGCTGGAGATTTCCAATTGCGGTAGTTTTGCGGGAGAGAGATGTCTGCGTGTAAACTAAAAAATTGCGGGAGTCTCCCGCTGATGGGGGGAGACATGGAAATCCTGGATATATAGCGCATATTCCCTCTGACGTTGAGTAACAACAGAGCTACGCTAGGTTTTTCACATTTCCATTTAATTGGAATAAAAGTTAATTTGGGTATAAGTTAAAAATATGAAGAGCCCTCTACACGTTTGTGTGCAAGCCGCAAGTACTTGTACGCTCAACATTTCGAAAAATGTCGCAGACGTCCATAGGCTTAAAAAAACCAAAAGGAGAGGTGTAAAAAAAGAGCCTATGCCCAAGAACTGCAGTTTAAGTTAATTACTTTAAAGGTGAGTTGTGGCTGATTTTAAGTTTAAAGTTTTTATAAAAGAAATAAAATAAAGTAGCTACCGATTAAGTTTGCTATTTGTCCCGATTTAGAAACGTCACATATTATGATTTGAAAAAATTGACGATTGAAATTTTATTCACAGGTGATATTTCATTTGAAATATTTTTCTTTTATTCTGAAAAGTTTTTTAATAGACTTTTAACAATTGTTTAATTTAATGAATTGTTTCATATTTAGATTTAACTTCATTACATCTTTAGTAGTCTTATAGTACCAGAGAGATTTATATTTTGTATATTCTTTTTTATTATAGGTGTAAAGCCATGTAATAGCATCATGAACTAAATTTTGATCCGAATTTCTTATGATATGAGCCAAAAATTGAATGCGGCGCTTTCTCAGGGTGATGTATATCGGAGTATGTTTAGATGTTTTTCATAAATTATTATTTGATATAACCTTCGGATAAAAAAAACCATTTATGATTCTAAGACAATTATTTATTAAGGATTGGAGTCTCCTATTTTCTGTTAATAAATTCCCATAAGTCACCCCCAAAAAGCAATGGGGATAATTGTAGAATTAAAAATTCTAAGTCTGGTGTAAACAGAGATCTCCTTTGTTTTCCATATTTTCATATACTTGTAAAAAGCCCCTTTTGCCTTTTGTATTCTTATTTTCATCTCTTCTTTACAGCAGCCCTTGTTGTCAAACAATATGCCTAAGTATTTAATGTTATCTACTATCTTAATAATATTACCATCGATTATGATATTTGGATTTTGGGCTGAACTAGGGGAAGGAAGAATGACTGTTTTGTTAAAAATATTTTCAAACCCATTTTTAGACTTAAATTTTCTAATAGGTATAACAGATTTTCCGTTTCTTTGATGTTTAAAGACACAACAGCGATGTCATCCGCATATGATATTATCCTATTTTCTAGATGTAACTTTGCGTTTGAGCTTAGATCCATTAAACTCGCGGCTTCCGAGACTCTATTTATAATTTTATACATTATGAGATTAAACAGAAGAGGTGAAAGTACACATCCTTGTTTAACACCTTTCTTAATCTTAAAAGGGGGGATGTCTTATTATTGATTTTGATACAACCGGTAAGATTCGTGTAATGGGTTTTTAATATGTTAATTATATTTGATTCAATCCCGCATTCCAGCAGCGTCTTCCATAAAGCATCATGATTTACATTATCAAAAGCTCTGCTGAAATCGTCGAAAGTGAAGTAGGCGGGAATTTTATATTTCCAACATTTTTGCATTATTATTTTTAGTGCTAAAATTGGTTCTAGTATATTTTTCTTTGGTCTGTACTGTAGGTACAAAAGTATTAATTTATATGCATTTAAAAGCCGGATAAAGGCGGTGGCGTTGTATAATAAATACGCTAAACATCATCCAAATTTTATTAAAATACAATAAGACTCATGATCATATCGTCGCTTTTGATCCCAAAACCATTTAGGTGAGCTTCAGAGAAACCCAACCCTTTCTGAATTTGAATCCATCCGAAGCTTGTAGATTTCTCGATCAATGTTTATAATAGCTAAGTCACTGCATTTGAAACAACAATTATTTTTATAAATAGATAATTTTTGAACTTTAGTAACCATATAAAAATTCAAGAACTTTCAACGCAATATATCATTACCTTTAAAAGTGAGAACACTGAAGTCTGCCACCATTGGTCTGCCATTAAAATTTATAGACGAAATATAAATGTAATTCGATGACACATTCTCAGATAATGACATTTACTATAATCATATTTAAAAGTAAAATGATATATTTTTAAGATAAAAATTAAATATAAATATAGCCACAATAGTAAAAATAAAATAAAAATTTACTTTATCAACCGGCTTATATGAAATTCTGAATTTCTTCCTTACGGGCCTATAAAAACTGTAACTTTTGCCTTCATAGAAAATTTCTCACTAAGATTAGCAGCCAGTATACCTAATAATCTATTGAATTAAATTCATATTTATTTACAACAGAATTACTACAATATGTTAAATAGCCAGTCAGTCTCTTAATAGAAAGGTTCAGACAACCGACAGTTAGAATAAAAAAAATACGGGATTTTTTCTAATAAAAGATTACTCTACAAATTTTGCTTATGATTGGATAAAGAATATCATTATGACTATTTTACCAATTAAAAAAGTTAGTAAGGAATCGAAAGAAATAGAAAATAGAAATCAAGATAATAGCCACATTAACACATCATCTCATATAATTCATTCGCATTATTTGCCCACTCACATACAACATCAAGAAAACAGAAATATTATTGCTAGGTCTCGAGGTTATATATCTTCAACATCTCCTAATTCTTATATTGAAGAGAATATCCCGAGCACAAGTTTAGAAAATTCAACATCAAATGATGGTCTCCAAATAAACAAACGTAAAGTTAAAAAATCGCCAAATAGAATTAACAGAAAGCATAAGAATAATAAGATAAATAAAAATTCTAACCAAAATTTAGAAGATATTTCAGAGTATAACAGTGGAGATGAATATGATCATCCAAATGTTATAATAGACCCAGAAAAATTAAAGGAGGTTTTATATATTAAAAAATATTTTGACTATTTATAATATATAGATGGAACGCTTGTTTGAAAAGAGTTTGGAAGAGGAAAAAGGTTATAAAATTAAAAAAATGAGTGAAGATGGAGCATGCTTATTTAGGGCTGTTGGTAAATAATTATAAATAGCTGATAATAATTTTACCACCCTGTTCATATTTTTAGCGGATCAAGTTTATGGAGATCAAGAGATGCATGGTATTATAAGAAAGCACTGTATGGATTATATGTTGAAAAATGGAGATTATTATTCACAATTTATCACTGAAAACTTTGACAAATATATCACCCGCAAAAGTAAAGATAACAGTCATGGTAATCATTTGGAGATTCAAGCAATGGCTGAAATGTATAATAGGCCTATGGAAGTTTATGAATATTGTTTAGGTTTATTTTTTATGTATTTAATATATATTAATATTTCATTTTAGAGCCAATCAATATTTTTCATGGTTATAATGAATCCACAAATGAGCCTATAAGATTAAGCTATCACAAAAATTCACATTACAACTCAATTATAGATCCATTTAAAGCTACTATTGGAGTTGGTCTTGGATTTCCTTTACATATTCCAGGAGTAAAAAAAAATTTTAATTAATTTTTATATTTTAAAGGAGGGGAAATATACCATTTTTATTTAAATTACAAAAAATGTTGATTACTACAGAAGGATATTTTTGTGAATTGTGTTTTATAATCATTTAAATTTGTTCAACTATAAAGGCATGCCAAAATAAATATCTTGAGGTATAAGTGTTTAGATTCCATTTCCATCATCATAGTTTTAGGCTAAAAATGTAAATTTAATCACTAGGGGCTCAAAACTGCAGTGAATTACAATGATTATGAATTAAGGCAGAAAATTGCCTATCAAATTTTTTATAATGAAAAATATTTTTAATCTAACTCTTATCTTTTACTAACATTAGGCCACATCAGGTCATTATAGCTTCTACATATATACATCTAATTGTTGATGCACCCAGTCTTATCCTATAATAATTACTGTAGAGCTTTCACAAAGATATCTTTTTGCAGGAATGCATAGAACCTTACTAAATTTGAACAAATTTTAGTTTCTAATAATTTTATCACTATTATTACCTTAGATGATCTTATCTGTCTCCTTTTCTTTTATTATATTCACTATTTTAATGAAAAGGCTGCTGACCAAAATTTACTTCTAGATGGTTTCAGAGCCTCAGAAGCTCTCCAAATTGAAGAGGCCATGCTCAAGGATAAAATAGCAGCCACGGATTGGGAAGCAACAAATCAAATCATTGAAGAACAAGTAGCCCGGGAATCATACTTGCAATGGCTTAAGGACACTGGCCGGGCTCCCTTTCATCACCATAGTATCACAGAACTTAAAAAATTGAGTTCCAAAGCTCTAAATCAATTTCATAATAACACAATGACTTTAGTGGCAGATAACCATAAAGAGGGCCTAAAGGGGGAAACAGTCATGGAAAATGGGAAAAAATTGGAAAATCTTGATAAATTAGACAAATCTGATAAAGTAGATATCTCTTCCCATAATATAGCTGTGAATGATGATATTTTTGTTCATCACAGAGATAAAGAAGATTCATTATCAACCTCTTCAGCTTCTGTATCTTCTGGTCATTCATATACCAATCAAGAAGTTAAAACAATTTATTTTTAAATTTTTTGTGTTAAAAAGCACTCTTTTTGGAGTTAAGATTAGAATTTTTTCTCACAATGAATTAATTACTAGAACCTGATTATTATTATCCTGAATACAGAGATATACTAGACTATGTTTGGATCTTCCCTATTTGAATTTGGCCTTTTTAATTAAAATAATTGGTAGCATGATAAGCTTGAAGAAATAAAGGCCACTGATAGGAGTAATTAGAGAATTTCTTGCTTGAATCACCCTAAATATTTAAAAATAAAAATGTAATTTAAGCAAGTGTTGCATGATCAAGTAAAACTGTAAGTTATATATAATATTATAAGGACTAAGTATCCCCTTCTTTTAAAAGTTCAAATATGTTTCAATGATCATCATTTTTTGGAACTGTTCTGATAATAGTTTTTCATGTAAAATGTAAAGACATAATGTTTAAACTTTCGTTATTTTTTTTCAAAAGACACTAAAAATATAATAATAATAGTGGTAGGATTCTGATATTCTACTTCTAAACTACTTAATATAATAATAATTTAATATGAAATTTCTGGCATGCTCCAAAACAGTTTTTTTGAAATACTTATGTTCTTCCAGAGACCTAATGGTCAGAGCCAGCCCATGGCCCATAGTGGTCTAATATTATATTTTTTAGCATGCTGGGCCTGGGTTCTTGAAATTTTTTTAAAATCAATTTGGGCTGGGCTTAGACCTAAAATTTTTAATTTAAATTTAGCTAATTTAAAACATTTGCTAACTTCTGGGGCCAGGTTTGGGAATTTTTTTTAATATTAAATATGGGCTAGACTGGACCTAGGCCTAAAAATCTTTTACTACAGGCCTAGAAAAGTTTGATTAGGTCCATGAAGGTCAATGTGTTCCTCTCAAATTTTAAGCTTTTCCATTCTTCCCCCAAGTTCCATGTATAAGCAATAAATTTATTTTTACTTAATGTATTTCATTACAATGTGTACTCGAGAAAAAGATTTTTTTTTACATAATTATTTTTAAAATTTTATCAAGATACTCGAAACAATGAATAAAACATTGACTACTTCACTCATTGACGAAGAATTAAATAAACAATTTTATTCTATTGATGGTACGCAATTTTATTTAGTATGAATTTGATTTCTTGTGACGTTCGCCACCTTTTTAGTCCTCCTTTTTGCTGTTTTTAAAGAAACATTTTGCTTAAATACAAAAAAATATTTTTGTGCGCTCAAATTAAATTTAGGCGTCCTGAGCACGAGTTTGATTTTCCCAGGCGACCTCACTAATTTCCTATTAAATTATGATTTTTTCATGCATTTTTTTCTTCTCATTTGATTTCATCTTAATATGATTAAATTCAAGTTTTAAAAAAATATAGGTTTTCTAACTCTTAGATAATTTTTCATTCATTTTTTTTAACAAAACTATAAGAATACACCATACGCATTATATAAGCACATCATCGGGCCTCTTTTTGGTGGCCTGGTCCATCTGCTTTAATTTAAAAATATAAGTTCGAGTTTATCTGTTGATCCCACTCAGAAACAGAACTGTTTATGCAGGGCCTAATGAATATTTGTTATACACTAAGTACGGTGAAAATATTTTGGGGCAGATTTGACATGCATAAAATATAAATGTAGGTAAACTTTATTATTTATCAAGAATTAATACACTGGTTTTCTTTTTCACAAACAATTTTTATTTTTTTATATATATAAATTTATTATAAGGGAAAATATAAGAGATGACGTTATGGCTTGTATATTAATAAAATCCTAGCCATCTCATATCGACTAACTCTAGCCAAATCAGTCCTAATTACCATATATCGTTATTAGCTTTAAACGTTACTTTTAAAAAGTAACTTGTTACAATGTTTAAAATGTAATTAGTTTTAATTACGAGTAAAGTAGCTCGTTACCGTTACATTTTATAAGTAATTAGTTAGTAACAATTACAAGTTATATCTTTAAAAGGTAAATAGTTTTCATATTAGCTACTACTTTTTAAAGTAAAGTTACTGTTACATTTTAGAAATATTTAGTTCCATTGCAATTACCTTATAATTAATTTATATAACTTATTATTTCGCAATAAATTTTTTTTTATTATATATAATAATTTTGCGATTTACAAATTTTTATTCAAAGGAATTTTAATGGAATACAATTTAAATAAAAGAAATCACTGAAAAAAATAAACCATATATTTATTTTTAAAAAAAGGCTCTCTCATTTTTCTCAAAAATAGGCCTCTATGTAGACTAAACAACTACAGGATCACTTGATGATTGCTAATAAACTTTTTTTATAATTTGGGAGACTTCCCTAAAGATTATGACTTTTGGGTTTTCAAATATGATATTTACTAGTTCCATATCCTAGTACATTTTGCTAGTAATTAAGCCTATTCAAAAACGAATACGAATATAGAAGTGCATTATTCGATTCGAAAAATTCGTTTTTAAAAATATTATAAAATAATTCATACCAAAATATATTGCCAGATTCTTAATATTTTTTTATTTCGGACCCAATTTGAAACAGAAGAAATTATTTTAATAATCTCATAATAAAGAAAATGCGATCAAGCTATTAGCGAAATTAAAATCCATAATAATTTAATTTATAATGCCAAACCAATTTTTAAGGAAAAAAGTTTTACTTATTGTTTCTTCTTTATAAGAATGAGATTTATGAGCGCAAATTAGTTCCAATTAAGAAAATCCTTTTGCAGGCAGTTTATGTATACCTTGTTAATCACACAACCCATTAGATTGATAAGTTATCAATATAATAAATGATTAAATTTTATAAAAAATATTTATATATTCAAATGTTCATTTAAATAATTATTTAAATATTTGATCAAATTATTCTAATAATTTGATATGAATACAACTAATTAGTCAAATAAATTAATTGTTCTAATAATTCATCGAATCAAATCGAATAATTCTTTATTCTCATTTGAAAAAACGAATAATTTACTATTTTCGATTTGTTTTGAATAGGCCTGCTAGTAATAGACGACTGCAGAGGTGAATAAAGCAGTTTTAGGAAAACAATTAGTTATCCTATGCTCTACAAGATGGAATAGTATGCTTGATAGCTTAAATAGTTGATTAAAATTTAAAAATGAACTAACGAAATTATGCGAAAAATTAAATTTTCTAAAACTAGAGGATATTGAAATAAATATTTAGAAGAATATTGCAATAATGATCTTTGGCCATGGCCATTGACATAATACAAGAAATGAACTGCCATTATGGGGAATCAGTTTAATAAATGTTGTTCAAAAAAGTTCAAACTTTTTCCAACTTAACCATTGCAATTGCAAAATCTTTATAGAAGATTTTAAAATATTTATGAATTTGATAATGGTTTGAAAACAGCATTTTTAGCCACTTTCTCTCACCCATATTTTTAAAAATCGGTGGACTGACGATGCCATATAAAAAAACATCAAAATTTGTTGAAAAACGAAGCCTTAATTAATTTTTAGAAATAGTGTGGAAGTAAAAATGCCTGTTGAACGATTATTTAGTTCACAAATCAAATATTACTAAGAGACAAAATTGATAATATTAAAAAATAATGCGATCTAAATGCTAAATTGTTTCGTTAATATATTTACTATTTTATATAACAAATTAGTCCATTTTCTACCCAAATATATTATCGGATATTTTATAAAAATAGTATCTTATCTTATTGAAATTTTTAAGTATCTTGTATCTTAGATTCAAAATTTCCAAATATATTCGAATACAATTTTCTAAAAATTTGCCTAACCTTGAACTAATGTTTATGATTGATTTAAAGCTTCTCTCACGATGCTATTTTAAACGAAAGTCATTGATTTGTACCTGTTTTCATTTTTATATAAAAACAATTTTTATAATTAAATTTGGAAATAAGAATGGATTATTTATAGACAATCAAATTTTATGATGAGGAAAAATGAGATTGCGTGATTTTCTTTCAATTTGCCATTAATAAATAATATTCTCATTATACGTTTTATTTGTCTGAATGTCCAGGTTTCTCATTTAATTTATAAAAAAAGAAGATATTATGATATGAATTATTATCGAATAATCTTTTATTTCATGACTTGTAACCATGATGGGAGAAAGAAATTCATCTTGGAAGATTTTCCAATTTTCTTAAATATTATTTTAAACTAATACACCCCTCCCCCCATTTCTCTCTCCCCTATGCCCTGTTTTTTTTTAAATATTAGATAAAAATGTTTAGATACTTTTTATATTCTAAATAACATTCTTTATTTCTACAAACATCCACATAATACATAAAACTACACTCAAAATGATACGATATAAAACTGATAAAAATAGAATTCATAAAATAATCATGCGAATAAAATATAAAATAATATCTTCTCGAATTCATGGGCGAACGTCTATAAATGCCAATTATACACTAAGGAAACAACGGCGAACACAGTTGTTTATTATAATTTATAAAAATAAAAATAAAAGTTGTACAAAAAACAGATTCGTTGCCCTCCACTTCGTCTCAACCTCTCAGTCACGATAAACAATCCGATGATCACACCCAATCCGTATCCTATTCCGATTACTACTTGGACGAAGACGAAACCAATTCCATTATAGCCAATCTTCCACCCGACATTTTAGGTAATTTAACAGTATCTAAATAATCACTTTTGTGATGAAAACTAGGTATTAGTGTTGTTAAACGGCTAATTTAATATTCTACCCGGGAAAATATAGCTTAAACATCGAGATTTCACATAGATGTCCAAGCCTTCGTGCTATCTGTGAGCAAAATCATTAAGCTTGCCTAATATTTTTCCTGCCAAAATATTCAGTTAGCCGTTTTAAAAATCTTCTCAAATCGAGCCCTTATCATAGAAAAGACGTAATTTTTTTTATTTAGGCATACGTAGAGGTCGGCAAGGAGATTTTTTTGCAGCCCAACTGAGCCCGAAATTTATTTTTTCAACCCGACCCGAACCTGATGAGCGTCAATATTATAATATCCAAAATACATTTAAAAATTGTGTATTACCTTAAATAAAAATTTTTACTGCTATAATATAATCTTATATTAAGTTGCATTTTATTTAAATTGGAAACATATACTTTTTTATTCAGTTTAAATATTAAAAAAGTTTAAATACAATCGAATTTAAAAATTGTTGCGGTTACTTTAAAATAATATGCATAATATTATGAGCATATAAATATATATCTATATCATTATTAATAGTATCACATAGTGAATAATTATGATATATAAATAATGAGGAGTCGAGTTTGTCAGACTTAAACAAGCCCTCCTATCTTCAAAGGCCCTACCAGCCGATGCTTTATCAAGAGAGGTACTTTAACGAGTATAGAAGCTAGTGTTGTTAAACGGGTCATTTCGAGCCAATTTTTGAAAACAGCTAACTTAATATTTCATAGAAAAATATTACAAAGCCTGAAGATTTTGCTCATAGAAGGAACAAAGATTTAAACATATATTATCAAAATCTCGAGGCTTAAGCAATATATTTCTGGTTATAACATTGAGTTAGCCGTTTGAAAAATCGGCTCAAAACGAGCCGTTTAACAACATTAATAGTAGCTAGTATAAAGGAAAAAATTATTGGTAACACAATTTTGGCTAACCTTACGATTAAAAAGCGAATGAAACAATTTAGTCTGAAGAAAACTATCAATGTTTCATGATAATTATATATTATTTTAATCCAAAGATAAAAACAAATTTAAAAAAATTGCCGAAATTGACAACATGATAGAATGGAAAATAAAGTAGAACTAAATATCTGGTTTTCAATAATGTTTAGTACCTGTCTAGTTTTTATTAATTCTTCAATCCATTTTCTTACCCACAAAAAGCCACATAATATCCACATAGCACCTCAAGTGTGAAATCAACCAAAATTCTGGAAGCATTAAAGCGTTACTGGCAAAATAAGATTAAACTGTCAAGATTGGCATCATGTGAAAACAAACATTATGGAAACGAAAATATTTTGGTGAGTCCATGTAATGACTGATAAGTACTTATTAATTCATTAATCAGTTTTTCCAGACAATAAACAAAAACCAGGTATTAGCGAAATAAATAAACAACACGCCTTACCACCCATTCATAGTTAATTTGAATTTGTAGCGAGTTATACAAAATACGCTGTATTTTTGTATTCTCTGCTGTGAATGAGGGGTTGCCTTACATTCCCAGTTGGCACGAATTCATAGCGATGTACACAATATATGTTGTATTTTTATATACTTCGTTGCAACCTTTACAATTGAAAATAGAAATGATCAAATGTCGATCCCTTACAAATTATAACCCTCATATTAAAATTTTTATAGATTTATATTTTGGACATGTTTTTTTATATTAAAAAAAGCTTATTTCTTCTTTTTTGTTAATGTTTCAAAAGCTTGTGGATTTAATTTTTTGATATTTTGAACACAACCTTAAATATTTTCTTTTTTAAATAAAATTCGACATAGGTTTAAACGTATGGGAGAACGATAAAGATATAGCAAAAGCCTTAGCTGCCTCACAACAAGAATACCTAGATCAATTAAAAAAGAATCTTTTATAGCCTTCATGATTATACCTATTACCCTTAAAAAAAGTCTTTCATTAGAAACAATAAGGTATTAGTTTGTATTTAAATTCTATTACTCTCTTCTTAATCATCTGGTCCTAATAGCTTAAAAGTATTCACGCGATAGACAAGGTATTTAAAATTATAAAATTTCGATAACACCTCGGCTAATTTTATTCCTTAAATTATTATTTTGCCTCTATAAAATTGATAAAACAAACCAACTTAATGATTTTTTTTAATATAATTTTTTTCGATGTATCTTATTTCGCATTACTCGTTTCGCACTAAGCAAATTATAATTATTTATAATAATTTACGAATTCTTCATTTATTTAATATAATTATAAAATAAAATGTTTTTTTGGAAATATGTTTTATCTTGGTTGAGATGAGAAAATTATTAAAAATATATATCATTTGTGGGCATAAGAAAGAAATAGAAAAACATAAATAAAAAAAATAGGAAAAAAATGAATATATTATTAAAGGATATTATTTTTTTTACAATATATACGTTATGATTTGCCTAAGAATATCTAATATAATAGACTTTAAAATTATTATTTTTTATTATTGCATACAAGCGTTTAGTTATATTTGGTATACATAATCAATTCTTACTATTTTGAAATGCTTTAGGCTTAAAATCTTCTTTCCCTATCCTTTAGAAATAAATTATGGAATTTCCTTTTTTTCCGAAATTCTTTTGTCTCCTTCACTTGCCCTTAACTCTGGAGTTTCTAATATTGATGCTTCAGTAGGATGCAATGGTGGTTCGTAACGTGACTTCCCTTAAATTGAAATATGAAAAATTAACATCATAAGTTTTAACATATAATAAATTTAAAAGGTGAATTAAATAAAATCATCGGCAGAGATCTTTTAGCTCTGCCTTAAATCATTTTTTTTTGAAAGTCGAACTAAATACCGACCAAATGTTCTAAGAACCCGACCGCCTGAGAACTGGTATGTCTGTAAATCTTTAGTACAAGGTATTAAATTAAGTGTACTAGTTTAAAAAAATTGGTTATATTACTACTATAAAAATAAATTTTTAAAAACTTCCTCCGACTGAAGCTCTTGGTTGCCCTGTCGTAGCAATAGTCAATAGATTGCAACCGAGCGTTGGTTGGATGCTTTGACTTAACCTCCTAAAACTTTCTTCCTCTCGGCCCCTGACTCGTGGATTTTCTAGGCTTTTTCGAATAAATTCCTTCCCCCTTAACGATATCTCATAGCCAGCTATCTTTTCGCATTCATTTTTAATGTAAGGCATATCAATTATATGTGATACGACCCATATATCTAAAGCGTGATCTTTGTCTATATTTATAGCGTACGAGTACATGAATTCTAATAATTGACGGAAGGCGTCGGAGCATAAGGCTACATTTTGTGGTAAAAGAATCTCGTTCATACCAGATGGGTGCTGATTTCTCCAATATGATTCTGGCAAATCTGGCATCATTAATAATAGATCTTGTCCCACTGGACAAAATATATGTCTAAAGCATTTTATATATTATACATAATGACTGGAATAAGAAATTATACCTAAAATACCCAGATTTTGAGGCAAGTACAAATTTATGAGCTTCAAATCTATGCATACAATCAACGTGGATCATAATATCCGTGGGAATATCTCCAGACACGTTCCAAAAATTTTGTAAACACAAATTAAAGAAATCTTTTAATTCAGGTTGTTTAGAAGCAGGAGTAATCATTTTGCTCTTTCTCTTTTCACAAATATAAGGTGTCACCATTTTCAAAATTTACTTATTTACTATTACAAAAGAATCTAGAACACATTTTAATTCGACATTATATTACATTGGTAATTCATGCGAAGTAAATTTTGAATAAATAAATTGTACTTAATTATATTGAATTTTTAATAGGATCTTTTAAAAAATAAATATTTATAACTAAAATATTCCTCGCAGGGGCTGACTAGCTATAGGACCAAGTAAGCAATCTGCTAGAAAGGTCTTGCTAATATATATAAAAATCAGTTTAAAAGTTGCCAAAAAAAAAGAGTCCGATGAAATAAAATAAAATGGCGTCATACTAATTTATAATTTTTTATTATATTAGTTAAATCAAATTCACTCATTTAAGCAGCTACATCTACAATGTCTTCATTTATTACAAAAACAGTATCATCAACCTCACAATCTGTAACTACATCATCTATTTAATAAATATCAACCCCTTCATCAATCTGATAATAATACAATTAAATCTTTTATTCTTTAAGAAATTCTCTTATAATTTAATATCTTTCTAAATTACCCACATACAGTTGTAAATTTTAAATTACAAAGACTAATATTTCTGAAATATTTTTGAACGAATCCTATACAGTCAATTAATTACGAATAATACATCGAAATTGTATTATAAAAATAATCTAAAGAATGGACTGGTTACAATTAATATAAAAAATAATAGAGCACCAACCTTGTACTCTCAATTTAGACATTCGCATCGTGTCAAAGCATTTCCACAGCAGGCTACATCAATATTCGACATGTTATATTATGCAGTATAAATCAAAATAATGAAAACTCGATAATACATATTCAGTTGGTTAAGCCTATCTTAGAGGATCAAACAATAATTCCATTAGTGGGAAAAATAATTACAGAAAGAAGTAGGGAAATTACAATAACAATAATTTAAAACATGTAATTGAGATATAATTTTTTAGACAAGCCAAACCTATATTACTGATAATGAGATTCCAACTAAACGGTTTAAAAATTTTGCAAATTAAATAAAAACAATTTCATTGAAATAATACCTAAACATTATTAAATATACAAAGATTTTCTAAAGAACTATTTAAAATGAACCTAAAAAACAAAGTTATACCACGTTTATAGCAGTCGCGAAGATAGCGCAACATCGTTCTCCATCCCAATGCGTAAAATACGAAATTAAGTACACATTTAAGTGTTGAGAAATGCTATGAGCCAAATTCCTATAATAAATCCGGTGTGATATCGCTTAGCAATACTTCTCATATCGCGGTTCTAAAAACTTTCTAAAAATGAACATATAGGCTCTTTTATCTTAATGTTGATAAAGTTATTGTGCAGTTCTACATACAATAGAAATATAATTAAGAGTAAATTAAGTATTAAGGCTCTGTTCTGGTTTGTCTTATTTATGAAATTTATTTCTAACCCAGGCTAAACAGACTAGGACGCCCTATTTTGGTTTGTTTTATAAGTATATACATTAAATAATATTATTTGTTATTTATATTTTTTCCACAGAGTTGCTTAACCCTTTTTATATAAATCTAAATAGCATCTTTCTTTTTAGGCTCTTTAAAGGAAGTTATATAGCCGGCCAAACAGATTACTGTTTAGAAATATGACAACCCAGGACACGACCTAAGAGATTTAGCACAATATATTAATGTCAATGATCAATCTACCAATTGTTTACGATATATTTATAACGGGGAAATAATATAAAGACCCTTTGTACTGACGAAAACAACAAATTCTTCCGGGAAAATTTTTTTTGATTCATTAAACGATTGTTTTTCAAAATATGAACTACAATTAAAAAATATAATTGAAAAATCTGGCACAGAAAATATGCATATAGCATTTATCTATATAAGATCTGATTAAACGAGAGGTTTCTGAGGGTTTTAATATTTCCAACTAGAACCACATATTTAATCTATTTATTTGATTCACCAGGCGCGTACGCAGGAATTTGGTCTGGGGGGGGGGGGATAATAAATTTTTTTAAGAAATATTATTGTTTTATAAAAATATCAAGCATAAATTTATTAGGACTAATAACTATTTCTAAGACACTATTTAAATTAATGTGAATTATAAAAAAATTATATGTAAAGAATCACTTAAATGACCCAAAATATAAATTTGATTTTTTTTGAGTCTTTACACAAAAAGTTTCTTAGGAATATTTGCATTTTGTATGTTATACATTTACAATGTGAAATCCAATCTTCGTTGTGATTAAGCTAATTTTTCAATTATCTCATCCTTGCTTGTCAAATGCTTATGAATATTCAAAAGATCCAAACCTTTCAATCTACTTTCAGATGTTGTACTTCTTGGTATGTTTTTCAGAGACCTGCAGGTCCGGCCCCCGGGCCGGACAGTAGGGCCCGAAATTTTTTTAAAAAAACACCCAAGCCGGGCCTAAATTTTTTTTAAAAAACACCTAGGCCGGGCTGTATTTTTTAAAACAGCCTATATTTGAAATCGTTATTATTAGCTATAAAAATCAAAAATAAATATAATTTATTTATAAAAAACACCCAATCCGGACTGTATTTTTTAAAACAGCCTATATTTGAAATCGTTTTTATTAGCTATAAAAATCAAAAATAAATATAATTTATTTTAAAAAAATCCGGGTCGGGCCTGAAATTTTTTTAAAAAAAGCCGAGTCGGGCCTAAAAAAATTTTTAAAAAAACCTAGGCCGGGCCGTAAAAAATCTTTAAAAAAAATCCGGGCCGTGCCCTGTAAATGGTACTTATTCGGGCCTCTGTTATTCTTCTTAAAAAAGAGAATGTACTCCTATTATTTTACTAATGGGAAGAGTTTATAAACCCTTTTAATACTGGGACTATATCAACCATAGTTAATCTTATAAACATAGTTATTCAGCTAGTAAGGTATCATAAGATACTTTAACATATACATAATAAAAATCTAACAAATATTTTTTTTCTATCACCATCTGAAAAAGATTGGCAAGGCTTTTGTGAAAGTTATTTGCAGATTAGTAAGTGCTGCATGATGAATTAAAAATTCATTTATTTGGGTTATAAATGTATCTGTATTTAAGATATACTCTTCTACTGATCCTATATTAATGTTTTAACGATGAGCTGGCCTTGCTACAAGTCGAGGGAGACAAATATTAAACACGTATAGCTCTGCTTTTGACTCAACAATAAAATATGAAATTCTTCATCAACATTAGCCCTAATTTCCTTGAGTTCTGATAAAATGCTCTCCGCTATTCTCATCTTCTTAATCAAGTCAATGTCATGTTTTTAAAAAGTAATACTTAAAATAGTTGTATAATTAAATAATACATTCTAATGAGAAATAAAATTTGGAATAAGCATTGTATCCAATAATTTTCTTGCTTCTGAGGAAATATTTCTTTCAGGTCATTGTGATATTTCAGTAATAGCAAATAATTGGCTCTTCTAACTCCTTAAAAGCTGTTACTGCTTGATGGCAGAGACTCTATCTCGTTAGACTTGCAATTTCTTTTTCCCTGTTGGACAAGAAGTTTCAGAAATAATTATTATTTGACTAGAAATTTGAAAATGGTAGATAAATATTACGCCACTAAAAATTTAAAAATAATAAGTAAATATTACGCCGGAAAACTTGAAATCGAATTTAATTGATAAAATAACTTAGTAGATAAATGTAATAATAAATGTAATTAAATATATATTTTATATGACATACGAATAAATATTAACAAATATAAATTAATATAAACAATAATATTTTTGAAAAATATATCCGGCATCTGCATTTTTTGGCTTGGGGGGGGGGGGATTTGTCCTCCTGCCCCCCCCCCCACGCTGCGTACGCCAATGTGATTCACGCTTTAATCTTGATCTCGGAAATTTATTTGGGCGACTAAATTCTCGAATCTTTGGCAGATTGAAAAGTTAAAATAACTACAGGCCAAAAAAGTTACAAGGGATACAAAAGATCGCCAAAACAAAATGATGATAGATCCTAGCAAAGATATGAAGAAGGCCGTTTAATAGCGATTAACTAATAAGTGTTTATATATATCCTTAAAGTTCTGCAATACCGAAAAATATTAATGTTATATTTCCTTCCTATTATTTCTTTTTTGCCTGATTGGATATCACAACACAATTATAAAATAATTTAAAAATATTAAAAGATTTTAAAAATAATTAGAAGGTAAAAGGAAATATTTATTTTTGTATGATATTTTGTAATAAATAGAATAATAAACATTTATTAAATTATCAAAGTTATTGCTGAATATTTAAATTTAATGTGTATAAAACATTTAAATAGAGAATAAGATAAATATTTTGAATTTGAGATTTATTCCATACATTTTTAAAAATTTGGGACGGGCTATGGCCAAAAAATAGATTTTTAAGGCTTCTAATATATACTATTTAACAGTCAATCAAATTGCGTAATCAGACTATATGTATTGTCTTAGTCAAATCGCATAAGTGTTGGAATAGATTTTCGGAAATATTTATATATTGGGGCTAAATAAATGTTAAAGTTGATAAACGCATTTATTTCTTCAAAGCATTATTTTTATTTTAGTAGTCTAATTTTGCCAAAAATGTATTCCATGTGTTGGTAATCCCTATCCTATAAATTTATGATAATTAAATCCTGAACTTTTGAATTATTTTAAATTTATATACTGGTATAATAATCGAATATGACTGTTTACGTGATTTAACTGTAATATATAATTGATAGTAAGTCTTTTTTGCCAAAACGTAAGAAGTTTAAATAATTATCCAAATTTAAAAAGCTAATTTAAGATTTCATAAATAGATTTTGGAATTAATGAAGCCGATCTCGCTATATCCTCAAACCTATGATTTCGATTTATAACATTTATGAAAATGGTTGAGGATGCCAATAATAGGTAGCTTTAAGTCTAAACAACAAACTAGCTAATATTATACTGATAGTTTATATATATAATATATGTATATATAAGAGTTGTTAAAAGATACTTTTAAATGGATCCAGATACAGTTACAGATAAATCGTCTAAAAATTTGATACAGTTCTAAAAAGTTATCTTGATACAGATACAATTTTAAATGTATCTAGATACAGATACAATTTTTATTCTACTCTTATCTAAGATTTGAATAAACCTAAATTAGGATTCTATTGTGAAAATTTATCAAATGAGCTAAAATATTTATTCACTCGATATCACATTTATCAAAATATAACTAAATATAAAAATGTTGCTCATTTTTCAAAATTATACAAAGATCAATATGTTAGATTATATTAAAATTCTGAAGATTACTGTGTCCTATAATTTAAAAAAATCTTTTATCAAAATTATTTAAATTTTTAAATTGAAATAATCATGCATATTTTAAATAAACACGTCTTTGGTGGGTAATTGAATTTATCAATTAATAGGGGCGATCTGAAAGGCTACGGCTTATATAGAAATTATGAATTTTTTTTGAAAATGACCTCTCCAAAATATTATTTGGATAAGCTAAATTTGTATTTTTTGAAGGAGGTGGATAGGAAATTTGTCTATTAGTTTTTATGTTAGTCTAGTCGCCCTGTCTGTTAAGAACTATTCCTCAAATTGTGAAATAAACACCACCTATAATCTAACTATGATGCCCGGCTCGGATTAAAATTCTTCAGCCCTGCCCTGATTTCTTAAAAATATACTACATTTATTTTAAATATTTATAGCTAATAATGGCGATTTAAAATATTCGGTTTTAAAATATACTACCCGGACAGGTGATTTTTCAAAAAAAATTTAGGCCCAGCTCAGGTATATAAAGTAAAAATTTTTAGGACCGGCCTGGGTATATTTAAAATAATTAAAATAAGCCTACTGGTCTCTGGTTATAAGAAAATGTGTTTTTTTCGGCAATGTATTATTTTTTCAAATTTAATTCATTTTTTTATCGCCTTTTTTTATAATTTAAAAATCTGATTTTACCGAAAACGTATTCCATCATTTTTGGTTTACCTACTTTATGAATTTTAGACCATTTTGCCATGAACTTGAACTTAATATAATTTATATTAGTTCTTCAATAGATTTTTTATACAAATTATAAATGACTTAATATTAATTGTTTATTATAGCATTAAGAGACAATAAAAATAGTTAATATTATAGTTGACACCAGATCTTGTTTTGGATTACAATCAAGCAACCCACTTTCAAATAATAGACTAAAAATTTAAAACTTTTGTAAATCTATTGATATAAAAAATACATATTTTTTTACATTATTATTTTGTTTGACATTAAAATATCGCTAATTTCAAATAATTTTGTCCCAAAGAAAGAAAGAAAATAAAAGTATCAATTTAATTTGCATCACCTAAAAATCTCATTATAATGCAAAACCTTATAAGAAAAAATTTAATGTTTTTAAACTATTATCATTGACCGAATTTAAAAAGATTAATGTATTCAAATATAATTGTTGTTCTTTTTATTAACCTTTTCCCCTGGAGTTAAATTTACGTTAAAAAAAATAGCTAATCAATTTAACACATTACTCAAGTTTTATTTTGAAAACAAAAAATTCGAATTATCCAAATATCTAATGTCAAATATAAATATTTCGGACATCAAATTTTCACAACAAAAAGGGCACATAGCCGCGGAAAACGGACCCAGATTTTTTATGTTACCTTCATTTAAAACCGAGCTATGCAATCCCGGATTTTGGAGAGGAGCTTTAGGAGAATGCGTTGGTACAATGATGCTAACTTTCGTATTATGCGCTACTTGGATAAGCTGGGAACCGATTGAAACCGATATTGTTAAGGTTTTAGCTTTTACATACATGTCATATAATTTCTTTAAAAACATATAGATATCATTATCGGCTGGCTTTATATACACAGCTTTAATATATTCATTTGGTCCTATAAGTGGGGGGCATTTGAATCCAATTTTGTCTTTTAGTTTTTTGATTACTCGAAAGATTACTGTCTTCAGAGGTTTATTATAATTATATATTATACGATATATCGACTTTTTCGCAGGCTTCATATATGTAATAGCTCAATGCACTGGATCAACTTGTGGAGCCTTATTGCTTTTCGCGTTCGTCTTTAATTTAATATTGTATATAAATTTTTATAATGTTGTTAATTTGTAATTAGTTGTGTGCCGCATGATATTCGTAAAAATTTGGGAGTCAACATGATGAACGCTGCATTATTGCCTAAACATGGTTTTGGGTTCGAATCGGCTCTAACCTTTATATTGGTCTTTATGGCTTTGTCAACTCTTGATGCGAAATCGGAAATTCCTGGGTGCAAATCTATAAGCCTTGGTTTAACCTATAGTGCCCTCCATTTTGCGGGAGTTAGTAGACAATAATTATATGAAATACATTTTCATTTAGCTTACCTTTTCTGGTGCAAGTTTTAACCCTGCAAGATCCTTAGGTCCAGCTTTAGTTATATTTTATTGGAGAAATCATTGGGTATTTTATATTCATTAGATATTATAACTTTTAAATCTCTTATTATATTCATTAAAAAAAATAGATTTATTGGGTTGGTCCATTTTTCGGTTCCGCTATGGCTTCCCTCTTTTATTACGTTATTTTTGATCCCTACAACCCAATTAACGCTTACAGGATTATGAATGGCAATTAATTAACTATACACTTTGTTCTTTCTCTTGGTTCACATAGCTAACGAATTTTCGCAAGAATAAATGTCAATTAAACTATTAACTACTGTTTCTTTTTTTTTTCTTTCTTGGTTCAAATATATAACGAACTGTTGGAATAAAATGTATTAATTAGGAGATTACAATGTCTAACACCTAGCAATAAAATAGTAAACATTCTCAACGTTGTAGTTTTTTTATATATCTAAAATTTAATATTTTGTTCAAAAATGCTTTAAAACAAAGCTGATACTGACACCTTTTTTATTTCAATAAACTATTTTAAGCCAATTGATTATTATTTAATTTTATGAATTATATGATAGCCTACGGGGATGCAGATGGGTTCAAGCCTACTGAAAACCTTTTACAGCCCCCGTGAAATATTTTGAATTTTTATTTTACACTAATTTTAGATAGAGCTTCTTTTTTTTACTAATTTTGGAAATTTCTAAAATGTGAGTCCCCTTAAATAGATAAAGATAGCAACACCACTGATTTAGAGCTTTTATATGAAATCTCAATTTAAATGGGTGATTTCGAAAAAAAAAATTGTATATATAGAAAATTGCCAAAAAAAACATAACCTATAAGTTTTAAAAATAATTGGTAATATAGAGAAGTATAAAGCGTATATTATAAAACAGGAAACGGGACATGAACATGACAATATAAACATGATCTGTCCAAATACATTTAGATTTTGAAATATTATTGATAAGTATATTTTGCAAAATTTATCTAAATAAACAATATTGTCTCTAAGAAGATGGCAAGATTCCTTTTATATCGTCCTAAATTCATTTTTATTGAGTGATTCATCATTTATAATCTACATTAAAAAAGGGTTATGTTACATATAACACTGTCAACATATAGCAATTATTAAACAACGACCATTTTTTATAAAATGTAATAAGATCTATTTATTTTTTAATATTTATTAATGAAATAAAATGGTCAAGTCCGATCTACTACATATCAACCCACAATTATTGAACCACCAAGTTAGCTTCAGAAAAAATACATGATTCTTAGAGATCGAAATTAGAATTTTCGGATTGAGACACACGCACTCATCCTACTAGGCTAAAGACTTTCTTTAAAATGACCATTTTTAAATTTAAACATATAATCAAGTGATACTTTGATCCTATCAAAATTTAGTTCTTTCAATATCATACCATCTTATATCTTACATTAATCGTTAAAATAAATTATAGCTATTTCATGAATTAAGGAAAAAAAAAATTTTTAATAGTAGATATGAAACTAAATTTCTTTCTTTTGTAAATATTCTTTTAACTTATTAATTACTTTAGATGCTTCTTTATAAATATTTTATTTAATGCTTCATATTTCAAATTTAAAACTATATAGTTAAAAATTAATTAAAGGAGAATCCTCTACAATGGAACCAATAATATATTCTATAATAATTATCAAGTTATTCTGCGACTGCTAACGTGAAATGTATAATTTAATGATTATATATAAATCTAAAAGGACATACTTATGTTAAAGTTTTTGCCATAGCAATAAGTGAACAATATGTGCCGTATATATAGGAAAATTTGTACTTTAAATTTTCCATCTTTAGGTATTTTGACATTTATTTGAGTTTCATTGGCCATAGTCTGCAAACATATCATCTTTAGTATTAAAAAATAACTATAATGGTTACATAATATTTTATTATTGCGGAAGGTTCCAAATTTTTTTATTTGATAAATTGCCACATAATATTTTTCAGATTTGGGATACTTTTGCCATTTGATGGAGTAATTTCTTCCATAACCTTTAACCAAATCGATTTTTTTTACCTAGTCTGCATTCCCTTGATATCAGCATAACACAAAGCAGCGATCAAAAAGAAAAGAGAAATTTCATTGAATACTTTAGGTGAATACATTAATGCTGTAAACATTTTTTTAAAAATCGAACGCGTTAACGTTCATCTTAAAAAAAAGGAACGCGTTCACGTTCGTTCAAAATTTTATGATAATTTTTTTTAAATTTAATTTAATAAAAATAAATGTCTTATATTTTTTAACACAATATATTAGCCATGTTAAAAAATAATATAGTTTTATTTTGATAATATAATTATAAATGCAATATAATATAGCGAATAAAAAGATAATTATATTTATAAAAAAATCTTATTAATTTTTAATAACAATTGTAATTTTCATCTGATAGACAGGAACGCTTGGCAGTTAAAACGGAATGCATCATTAGCTATACTAAAAATGCGCTCTCAGCGTTTCGCATAAAGCTTCATGATTAACATTATCCAAAGCTCTACTAAAATCCACGAATGTGAAGTAGGAGGGCATTTTGTATTTGCAAAATTTCTGAATAATAATTTTCAGGGTTAATATTGTTCTAGTATGTTTTTGTTGATCTGTACGCGCATATGTATTTGGGGAAAAGATGAAGTATGGTATGGATGATATGATTTATTTTTTAAGAGGACCATAGAAATCTTTGAGACAGGGTGAGGGCTACGGTTAGGTAATAAGTGAATTTTTGTGGGTCTTTGAGGGAAATTACATAGGAAAATTTGTTCCATTCCACTGGAGTATTTCTGTTCTCCCATATTTTATAGAAGAGGGTTAGTAGGAAGGAAGATATTGTCATCATTTTAGGTATATAGATGTGATATTATCCAACCCCGGAGCTTTGTTTTTTGGTAGTTTTTTTTTACTACATTTTATATTTTATTTATGGAGAAACGAGACGAGGGTGGGACGAGGTTTGTATTTATGTTTGTTGGTATGGTTGCTTTCCGTGAGTCGAAGACCATCAATCAACATAATGCCATTTGTTCGTCCTGGTCAATGATTGCTTTTTCGTTTCCTAAAACTATAGAGGGGGGTTTTCTAAAACTACCAAGGTTTACATCGATATTTTAATTTTTATAGGCGTTATTCCTATATTCTTTCATAGCTTTATCGATATCAATGGCTTTTTTTGATATGTAAATCTGTCTGTCACTCCGCAAGAATCTCTGTATGTTTTCCATAAGTCGCTATTCAAGCCATTCTTCATTTTTAGTTGATTTATTTTTTCTAATGTCTCACAAGGCATTCATTCTTTCCTTGAAAAAAGACTTACATTTGGCAAACCATCATATGATTCTGCAAGATCATTTTTAAATAGTTTCCAATATTCTTCTACGTTTCCGTGCATAGTTATGTTTAAGAAGTTAGCTTTTTTCCAATATCATGCTTAATAAAAAATTATTAAATCTTTCGGCATTTGTAATTTACTGAGTTTACGTATAAATTTGTTTTCAAATGATTTGTACTAAGTCCAGTCAAGTTTTGTCTAATTCTGTTATAATAGCCACATATATTCATTATAGTAATATTAGCTATAATCATTCTATGATCCGACAGGTTTATATTAGTTGTTGCTTTAACGCCATCAAACCACTGGTGAAATTTGGGATTTCTGCCCAGCCCTCACGAAAGATATTTTCGATATTAAAATTCTTGTTTCTGCAGAAATCAAGAAGTTTCTTGCTATCCTCGCTATTCGGTTGCTGTTATGGTAGCATACCCGATGACATTACTGCTAACATATTCTGCTTCTTTACCAATTTTCAGGTTTAGATCGCATAGAACTAATATATTATATCTGCACGGTAGGGAGTGGATCGTATTTATCATTATGTAGATGAAGCCTAATCTTTCATTTCTAATTGGTGGGGCATAGAAATTTGCTATTATTATCGGTCTAAAATTTGTGTTTAAATAGAGAAGACCTCATTTTTCAGATATGGGTACGAATTGGATGATAAATTTATGTATTAGTTTATTTATTAGGAATGTTATCCGACCAGATTGTGCTTCCCGAGCAAATTATTTTATAGTCGTTAAAGTTTTCAGTGTTATTCGCTGGATAGTGGGTTCCTTGATTATCTATAATGTCTACTTTAACCACTTCTAACTTTAAGAGATGTGCTAGTTTGTTTTTCATTCCATTATATTTAGGCCAGGTGACGTTAGAAAGAATTTTATTTGGTCTAGAATAAAGATTTAAAAATAGGTTATAATAAAGGAAAATTTATTTTAAAAGAATCTAGCTCTTTATTAAAAAAATTGAAATATGAAAAAGGAACAGCTGATTAAAAAATATAGGACATTTTTCTTAAAAAATTCTGATTAATATTAAATTTTTCAAATAAATAAAAATAAAAAGTGTTTTTAAAATTGAACGAACGTTAAATTCGAACGCGTTTATCAAAAAAAAAGGAATGCGTTCACTCAAAGTTCGTCAAAAATAAAAGAAACGCCTTTCATCATTTTTTTTTAAAAAACCCCTTTCATCATTTTTTTAAAAAAAACGAACTTCGTTCAACACTAGAATACATCGATTTAAAAAATTGGATATTATACAATTATTTAAAAGTATATATATATATAGTGATTATTTAAAATTAAAATAAAAATGAAAATATTTATATTGGCAAACATAGTGCGATTTAGTTTTAAGAATCTCCCATGTTTGTCTTATGAATAAACGTAAATGTTTTAAGAAAAATATAAAACAGTTGCTTTTTATTTTAAGTTATCACCCCTTTAGTTCTATATATTTCCTAGAATATTTTTGATATTAAATGCATTTTAAAAAATCTATTCTTATTTTTGAGATTAAATGCATTTCAAAAAATCTATCATTTGTAAATTACATCTTTTATAATGTATATCTTGGAGAAATAAATGTGAACCAGGAAGACTTATTATTTGCATGGATTCGATCTGTAATGAATATCGGTTTATTGAGTAAAAAGATAAAGATTCTGGGTTAAGAGAGAGAAAAGCATGTTTTTAATAAAAAAACTTTACCAAAATTTCATAACATAAAGAAACTTATGTTTAATTTTAATGCACATACAAACATACCTAATTTACAAATTTAAAAATAAATACAAAGATTTAATATCTCTGATATAAATAAATAAGTAAAATTATTT